ATGGACAGGTAGAACCAGTTGAAGAAGGAGCTCTGCCGCCGGCGCTCCTCCTCGTCGGACTCGGCGTCGAACTGGTCGGCCCCGAACGACGACAGGACCGGCTGCAGCGCGCCGCCCAGCGCCACCAGGTACAGCCCCGCGTAGAACACCGCGCTCGCCGCCACGACGCCGTACCCCGCGACGGAGATGAAGAGGAAGAGGGTGATGGTCCAGTACCTGCCGAGGAAAGAGTCGGCGAGGAAGCCGGCCGCGAGCGGCGTGATGGAGGCGGTGCCCTGCCAGTTGGTGACGCTGTTCGCCGCGGCCTTGCTGCCGGAGTGCAGCTGGACCTTGAGGAAGTTCACCAGGTTCGTCGACACGCCGTAGTAAGCGCTGTACTGGAGGCAGTTGTTCACTGCACACCACGCGCGCGTGAATGCATGAGCAGCATATTTAGCGTGGATCTAGGTGGATCATAGCGACAAGAAGAAAGTGGTGCAAGTTTTACCGAGGATGAAAACGTAGCCCCACGAACTCCGGCGATCCCTCGTGGACGTCCGGCGATCGGGGTCACCCTGCAGGCCTTTTGATTCGAAACGGAACCAGCTGAAGCAAAAGAGAGGAGGAACATTAGCCTGAATGAGGGTCGAACCTGTACACGCTCCCAGGCGTGAGACCTCTTCTTCTGTCCTTCTTTGGTCTCCGCCGCCGCATGGTACAGTGGTTGCGTTCTCTGACGCCGCTGTTTGTGAGGGGCTGGGCATGTCCAGTTTGGAGTGGTGATTCTCAACCATGAGGGGAATTGTGTGGCTGCGTGCTCTGAACCTTTAAGGGGCGTGCGTTCTTCGGAGTTGGCTGGAGCAATGGCTCTTCGGCGCGCTGTCAGCTTAGTCCGGGAGGAGGGTTTTACCGATGTCCTTTTCAAGTCTGATTGCCTCTCGGTGGTGCAGCGGTTGACGTCTCTGTCTAAGGATCGCTCGGTGGTGGGCTCTGTCCTTGCGGATGTCAAGTCTTTGGCTAATGGCCTCTCATCCGTGGTCTTTCTTCACGTTCGTCGGCATTGTAATATTTTAGCTCATGTATTTGCTAGATCAAGTTTGGGCTCTTCTAGCCTTTGTAATTTTCATTATGCTCTGGATTGCATCCGGAAGACTCTTTATAACTTTGTTGCTTGATCTATAAAGGCCGGCGTTCTCTCTAAAAAAATGAGGGTCAAACAGTAGATCGAATGAGACGCTCGGTCTTAAAGTTTTGAGGAGAGGTACAAGGACAAGAGATGCGGTAGGTGATGCCATTGTGGAAGAAAAATGTACGTACAGAGAAATTAATGAAACCATCATCATTGTCACACTGCATACATTTTGGCAAAACATGTAAATGAGTTAAGACATACAGTATGTAAACAAATGCTGGAGTGGAGGGGGTGTCAGGATTCGTAGCGTCAGGGACGCGAGCAAGAATAATGAGAAACAGACATCTTTTTTCTTACAAATGTTTTTTTAGAAACTAACATACCCAAGCCTCTATATCCAGCAAGGTTTTCGCTCCGAGATTCATCCACTTGGTGAAAATGACCCATGGGGAGTAAGATTCACCTAGAAAACAAAAATAGAGAGGGTTCCTCCTAGGGTTCCCCCCGCCCCGCCGCCGCCGCCGGCCCCCTCCCCCCACCCTCCCGCACCTCCGGCCGCGTGCGCCGCGCCGCGCCCCGCCTCCCTACTCCCTCCCGGCCCGCCCCCCGCGTCGCCTCCCCGAGCGAGGCGACCTGGGGCCCATCTCCCCGCCCTCCAGCGCCTCCCCCTCCCGTTCCCCTCCTCCCGCCGCCGCCGGCCTGCGCCACCGGGCCCTGCCCGCGTGGTGTTGGCGGCGGCGGCGGCCGTCCCTTCCCCGCGCGCGGTGCCACGGCTCGGGTGGTGGCGTCCCGCGGCGGTGCTCCTCGGTCAACGGTGATTCCGGCAGCGGCGGCTGCTCCAGGCGGCGCAGCTCCGGGTGGCCTAGAGGCGGCGACGCAGCCCCTTGGCGGCGCGCTGGCGCGGTGGATGGTGGCGGCGCCCGCCCGACCCAGATCTGGGCCCTTTTGGGCCCCATCTGGGTCTAGGCGGGCCTGACTCGGTCTCGCCTGCGGCGGCTCCGGCCGGGGCGGTGGTGGTGCGGCTCGTGCGGGGGGTGGTGGAGACGGCGGCACGTCTACTGCAGCTCGGCGACGGGTGCTTCACGAGCCCCTTTTGGGCTTGGCCGGGCCTCGAGGGCCTGGTACGCTCCCCTTGCCGCGTCCGGTCGGTGACCGCCGATGGTGGTGGAGGTTGTGTCCTCCGGCGTGGCTGCTCTCGCTGCCGCTCCTCGTTCCCGGCTGCTCCCTCTCGTCCTTGTCGGTCTCGCTTCGATGACCACGGTGAAGCGGCGGTGATGATGGCAAGTCCGTGGTGGCGCACGTTCGTGGGTGGTTTGTCTGGTGGTGCGCGTCGGACCGTTCGGGGTTGTGGGTGTTTGGCGGATGGGAGAAATCCGGGCCGGCTTGCCGGCCCCGACGCGGTGACGCCCGTGGGCGCCACCGTTCCTTCCTGAAGGGCGTCGGGTCTTCCCCTTCCCCACGCCTCTCCGCGTACCGGGGGAAACCCTA